GCCTTTTGAGACCACATACTTAATCCCGAAGGTCATTAAAGGTCTGTGGGGGTCGTTTATGGACCCGGTTATAAAATGAAAAAGAATCTTGTTTCACTTGTGAGACTAAAATCTATATGGAAGTGTCTCGAAAACTGAGAGGCAAGAATAAATGAAGGATCAAGGAGTGTGACCTAGCCTGTTCTGAAATCAAACTGTAAAGTATTCAATTAAGAGTAAACGAGTGGGCGTTTCCTTGGCTTTGAAGCAAAATCGCTCTCTGGTCAACTAACTGCTGGCCGTTTCCTATGCCTTTAAAGGCATATGGCACGATAATTTGGTACTCGGTCTGAAATGCTAGCAGGGTGCTATATAGTGGGGAAAATGGCGAAAAAACGAAGTGAAACGGTCAAAAACCTGCGAAGAAAAGCCTTCGTTCTTAATGACTCAAAAAGCAATTTCGGACGAGTTTTCCGTAGGCACGCACCAATCGCCGCTACGGTGGGTACGGGTGCAAGCATCACTGCAGCCGCTTCATATCATCCATCCACTTGTTTGGATTTTCGGTTACCATACTCCTCATTTATCGAGAGCTAGAGGCTTCACTTGTTGTCTCAGTATGCATAGCTCGCGTCCATCGCAGCGTGTATGTACTTGCGTGTGCCTTAGCCATTTTGGGGTCATTTAGGCTGCGTTTATACTTTGCGGCAGCGTAGCGTAGCGCTTCCAGCGTACGCCAGCGGCAGTGCCGGGGAGAGGATGCATATCGATCTAGCGTTCCCAGCGTCACGCTAGCGTACGCTGGTGACGCTGGGAACGCTAGATCGATATGCATGCTAGCGTACGCTAGCGTACGCCAGCGTTTCTCCAGCGTTTCACCAGCGTTTTGCTAGCGCTTGCAGCGGCAGGGAGTAGAGACTATGTGGCCGTGAGAGACGCGGAATCGATGTGTATTGTAGAGACTATGTGGCCGTCAGAGACGCGGAATCGATGTGTATTGTAGAGACTATGTGGCCGTCAGAGACGCGCAATCGATGTGTTTTGTACCCTCCAGCTCTCCCATAGTCTCTACTCCCCTGCCGCTGCAAACGCTAGCAAAACGCTGGTGAAACGCTGGAGAAACGCTGGCGTACGCTAGCGACGCTGGGAACGCTAGATCGATATGCATCCTCTCCCGGCACTGCCGCTGGCGTACGCTGGAAGCGCTACGCTACGCTGCCGCAAAGTATAAACGCAGCCTTAAGTGTGCTCCCTCACGGATGGGTTAATAGGTTCCTAATCTAGCAATGTTCTCTTTTATGTTTCTTTTTTAACTTTTGCTATATGTCAGTTAAGATGTTGATTTGTTTTGTTTTTTCCACGATGTCTTTTCTGTTGACTGACCATCATACAATAAACAATATCAATCCGTTCTTTTTCATATTCTGCTTGGTAAATTGAGCGATACTAACATCAGGTACGGTCGTCAATTTATGTGCGAGCGGGCGTGGTAGGCGATGGGCTCGGTATTTTTGTTACTTGATAGGGTCTTAAATACAAGGGTACCTTCCTTGGAGAAGGCGGTACGCAGCGCCTTCTCCAAGGCGTAGGAATCGGTGCCGCACACCGCACTACACCAGTCCCAGCTTCTGGTACGTGACTCGTACGTCGCCTAGCCATGCAAGGCCGTGCCGCAAAAGCAGTGTGATGAAAACGATAGAGTACGTACCGCAAAAAAGTCAAGAGGGGTTCGAACAAGGGCGAGAGTGAGCCTTATCCTTTATCTCCACATTTACATAATATCACGAGTAAAGAGTTCACCAAGTTATCCTCGCCCTGCTCCAATCTACCGGAGGGTCTCACCTCCACTCGGAAGAGGAAATTGGTGGGATGCTGAACAAGTGCTAGCTTCCAGCCGAATGACAGTGGTTCTGGTCATCTCATATAGCGGATCCAGGTTAGTTCCAGGATATAGAAATAGTCCGTTTCGATGCTACTTTTAAGCATTGTGACATTTTCTTTCCGTATTAGGTGAAATTGGAAGGCTAACAGGACGAGGCTGTTGAATGGAACTGAGAGCACAATTCAGTTGTGAAAGGAAACTTACTTTGGTGAAAAAGTGACGTTTTTCGGCATGAGTTTTCCCTGTTGTCTGTAGTACTGTACAATAAGACGTCGCAAATTGTCCGGTGGTACAAAAGCCATTGCACGCACTCTGAAAAGATGTTGGAAGAAAATCCGGGAGTGTCTCGAGAGAAATTCTCTCCTCACGTAGCATGAGGAATGACTGGTGGAGCCACTAGTCCCGAGGCACTTCTGCCAGTGACATCCGTGCAGGTCGTGTCAAGATCCTCGTACTGGGGATAGCATATTTCACGACCAGATGCCTGCACGAAATCGATTATTTCATTAGCTACAGGTTAACAAACTACAAATTGTCTATCCAAAAACGAATATTGACCATGTCAGGATCGATAAACGTTTATGGATTAGGATCTAAATTACCTTCGAAATGATACACTTCCCAGCATCCGGAGGAGGAATCGGTGGAGATGACACTAAAAATCACTTTCATTCTCTCAGGATAGGGTATGGAGGGATGAAGCAGCGAGCAGATGTATTAGATTACTCTGCTAGTCGCCATCCTGTGTCCATGAGGACCAAAGGTGACGACCAGCAGAGAGGGCTGAGCACGTAGTTAAGGCAGTTAGGAGCAGGTTTCATGCAGTTAGTTAGGGTGCAGCAAAGATAGCAGTAGTTGCGTGAAAGCTGAGCCGACGAGCTCACGTCGAATCGTGAGAAGCAGAGCCACCAGCTACGAAACGCACACACCTTAATCACATTACTACATAACTACTAACACAGCACAACAACTCGAAAGGTCTACAGCTTGTCATCAGGGAGTGAGATGGCGATTTGTCGAAGGCGTTAGGTTGTTGAACGGCTCCTGTCACGACATCGTTACGATTAGTCGACCGCAACACGATGAGGGAACACGACACTCTCGACTATTCTGACTAGCGCTTGCCTTCTTCTTCCATTCCGCAGAAATGGGACGCTTGATCGGCTGAGACTACGCATCGTCCAGTACCATTTGCACTGAGTACGACCGCACCATGAGACGGATACCGGCGACTCTCATCATCTGAATCGCTTGCGACGTGGTTTGGCGACTGCTTCACTTTGGCTTGGCATCGAGCTCCAGGACCTCCTGTAGAGATGCCCCCACCACTATTCTAATCTACTCACTACTATCAGGAACGCTATCCTTTGTCCACACGATTGAGAGCGTGTAGAGAAGAACAAGGAAACGTAATTCCTGGAGAAACTTAGAATCAGAGGCAGAAAAGAATGAGATTAGGTGGTGAGTATAGAAGAAGCGCGTCAATGCGGCCTGCAGATTCGCTTTGAAGCTTGTCAGAGAGAGGTGAAGCGATGCATGCTTTTCAAGGACAGCCCCATTACGAGCGACATATGCGACTCAGAGCCGCCATCACCAAAATCATGCTAGTGCAGCTCGCTAACCAAAGGGGTGTGGATCAAGACATCTGAGACGCGGCATCGTGCGCGAACCAGTCAGTGGTCTTGGCTAGTTGACCAGCATCTTGACGTCAGATCAATTAGGTAGCAGCAACCCACGTCCCATACCTTTATTTTTTGGCCTGATTTAAACAAAACTGGACAACCGGTAAAGTGCTTTCCTCCAGTTTCTAAGGATCACTTAATGGGTGAAGGTCGTTTCGAGTAAAAATAATTAGAATCTCCCTAGCTGAGATGGTGTGGTGCAAGTGGCCTGCTTAACGCGCAGTCCGGGCGTCAAATTCCTGATCGGCTCTCCCCCCTCTAGGCTAAACAAGCCTTCTACTCTCCGAGGAATTGACCCTTACAGCAACCCCCCCCCGTAGATCATTTTGGAAGCCATGTTGCATTGAGAAACCCGTACGTTCTGAATGAAAAAGTAATGACGCCGCATACATAAGAGGGTGCAGTTCACCAACGGCTAACGGTTTTTCAACTTTGATTATTATCAATTATTACACCAATGTAAAGGATTCGGAAAGTAACGTTAGGCGGAGGTGATGCAGTGACAAAGGGTGCGTTTACAAGTCGCGAGTGACCAAAAGCTTCCAAGGCTGGTCCAATTCGTTTCGGAGACGCGCCACACATTCCTTCTCCACCCAGAATCGTAAAGGTATCTTTAGCGCCATATAACCCATGCAAAAGTACTGGGTAAGGTCGATAAGCAAGTTACTAGTTACTACAAGTCTTCCTTCTCACCTATGGGACCAAACAGCTCACTCAAGGCTTGGTTGACCAAAACAGGAACAGATCACTCGAATTTGACTCGCGAACCGTGGTACTGGGGCGACGCCTTTTCCACTATACCATTTTGGAACACCGAAAGTTTACCGAGAGTTGGAATAAACCTGGCTATAAAACGGCAGAATAGCAGCCCACCGAGAAACGAGGCGAAGGTAGTGTAGGGGCAAGTGGCTCGCTTAAAGCACGCGCGGCCCCGAGCTGAAATTCCGGGTTGACTCCTGCCCAGGCCAACCAAGCCCTCTTTCCCTAGGGAGTAAATTGGGACTAGATACGTCCGAGAGGATAAGGACACTGACTTGTACATCGGCTGGCCGCGCAGGCCACATCGCATTCAATAAGCCACTACGATTCTGAATGGAAGTAGAATGCGTGCCGCATCCCACAAAGGGATTGATCAACGGCGAAGACTTTATCCTTTATTACGCAAATGTGATCTGACAGTGATCCTCAGAATTTGGACTAGGATAAACCTGCGGATTGACGATTTTTGAATATAAAACCATGGAGGAGCTGTGCAGGACGTGGGCTGCCACGAAATATTTGCTATGACGCCAAAGTGCTTGGTCGAACCACCTAGGTGTTTTGTGTGCGACGCCATGTCTCGGATGTCGTGAGCTACATCCCTAACCAAGGTTGAGCCCCCTTCGATCGCCGATCCTCGCCATTCACGACGGATTCCTCTTAAAGTCCGATCATTGAGCGTTTGGCTATCGTTCGCTACCTGGCAAGGATCGGAATCGACAGTTCTCAACCGCATGCGATGTGTATCAACTACCTAGTTATCTACCTAGTATCGGACAGTATCTGGCTCTTTTCGCCCTGCGACGCCTCAACGGTTCCGGGTAAAGCCGATCTTGGTAGTACGGTGAAGCACGAGCTGCATCGAAGCCCGGCAGTACAACTACGATCGGTTGGACATCTTAAACGCGAAAATCTTATTCAAATACATTTTCAGAGCCGTACTGGTATAGCATACAAGCATTTTTCGCTCCCAAGGTCATTGAGCCTTCAAACCTGGACGCTAAGAATTTGATCAGGCTGGCATGTTCAGAATGATTAATGCGCAAACAACTGCACGTTTTCCCCCTACACTATGTACCTATCTCCAGAAAGACACGCTACTGGGATGTTTTTGTCTCTGCATGCAAATATTACAACCAAAAGATTTTTCCGGGGTTATGCATGAGCCCAGGTCTGGATGAATTGATGAATTCCTTCTGATGCATGAGCCCAGGTCTGGATGAATTGATGGATTCCCTGCAAATCTGGTCAGAGACAAGCCTGCTTGTCTAGCTTAAGTGCGCTCATGGAATGGCCAAGTGTGAAGTCAGTTTTGACGTATATTAGTGAGTTTTACGCATTTCCCCCTGAACAGCTGCATCGTGAGCCCGGAACGCCCTGAGATGAAAAACGTTCATGAATTGCATGTTATTTGTGGAAACGAAATGCTCAGACTGGTCAAATCAGATCATTTTGGGATTTGTGAATCTCAATCACCTGGCAGCGTCCTCCTCATTGACTTTACAGTGCAACATTCATTGTAATTACCTGTAGAAAAATTCAAAATGAAGATGAAATCGTGTGTGTTCGAGAAGTGACAGCGAAGATAGAAATGTTCTCTGGTTGTACAGAGAGGAAAGTGGTGAAAGAGACAGGGAAAATAGAAATCACATTCCTGCGGTTTACGGTAGACGGCGACTCTCAATCATGGACTGTGGCGGCTGCCTAGCGTAACCGTAATGGCATGCGAACTTACTTCGAGTTGGTGCACGTTTTACACGCCTCAGCTCTCGCATCCATTCTTGTATTTGTAGATCGCCTTGTAGGTCATCCACGGTGGTGGTCGGCACCAGTTCCTGCAATATTAATACTGTACATTACATGGCTACAGAATACGGTTAGCGGAATGTCGCGTTAGAGGGCCCCATAGCCTATAGTATGAGTTCCTTTACGGTAGACTTCTCATGGCAGATGGAGCCACGCCTGTGTCAGGTTAATGATGAAATAATAATTTTTTTGTTTCGTGAGGCGGAGGTGGTGTAGTGACAAGTGGCGCGCTTACCACTCGCGCGGCGCCGGGTTCGAATCCCGGGTCGACTCCCGCCCAGGCCAACCAAGCCTTCTACCCTCCGGGGACGGTAAATTGGTACCAGATTCGTCTGGGAGGATAAAACACTGACTTGTACATCGGCTGGTGGCGTAGTATGGGCCACATAGCATAGTTCAATAAGCCACATTAACGGCGGAAGACTTTATCCTCTTTATTAAAGCGCGGTCCGCCGATTAATTGAGGCGAAAAACGCCTCTTTTAACTAGTGGCACGATGACCACCCCGCAGAAGCTCGTCCTACAGGCAAAGCTTGGAAACTCAGCCAAGCAGATCACTTCTATTTCAGGCCCCATGGCTCCAATAGGCCCCGCTGCGGCCTATGTCGCCCGCTGTCATCGTGACGCAGGCCATTGCCCGTGTCCTAACGCGTCGTTTCTGGTCTTTCGTCGTCTCTCTCAGGTTTATCGTCCCCTTTTGCAATTCACATTGATCTTGACCATCTTATCGTCCGGTGATCACGATCATTGCAATAAAGAGGGTCTTATTGCGGGCGGTTTTTCCAATTTTTCCTTTTCTTCAGTAGGTCAAGAAGCACACGGCAACTCCATCTTTGAACTGTATTATGAAGTACGGTGGTGGGGATTCCCTTTAACGTTGGCATTTCATCCGAATAGAAATACATGAAACTATTTACCGTTTAGGCTTATGCAACAACGTTGTGATCTCCATCTACATTAACGTAAATCTCCAGCTTTCGCAAAAGGACCGCCAGCGCATTTCCATTAGAGCGGATTTTGTTTGGTTTGCTGGACTGCGACAGCTACTGCTATCGCTCAGGTGGTGCTTGGATTCAGCATTTGCGTATGACTAACGGTGGATTGCCAGGAACGGAGGTCAGAAAGAAAATAAACGTTTTTACAGACTCCTTTACAGTTAGCAATTTTTCGGCGTGCTTGGGCGATTCTCGTGTGTTGGGGATGGGCCCGACGGCAGGTACTGAATGATGACGGTTCATTTAAAAAGCCGAAGATAATATCTGCGATTGGGAACAACCCCAGGCTTCATCCATATGACAACTATAGGGCTTTCAGCAAACACGGTTAGAGGGAACACTACCCCAATGGACACCTCATGAGCTGCGTCGGTACGACAAAGCGAAACGAATAGCCCTGGGAGAGTTGCTTGTTCTTTGCACTGGAAGGATTTTGGGCAGAAAAAATGACTGATTGAGGAGAGCAGGAACCTCATACCCAACTTACATTGGATACCTTCAACCAGAAAAACTTAGTACTGCAGAGCCAAAGCAATGGAATCAAGGTCTTCACTCAGTTATTGGTAACACTGCACAGGCGATGTGGCTGGACATTGGCTTAGCAGTGGCGGCAACAGTCTGCTCTAGCAGTTTCACGCTTGAATTTGTTCAGAGAGGCCAAATTCTCTCCCCCACTCCATGGCAACGTGACAACCGTAAATGAAGGAGATGCTTTTGAAATATGGTGTATCTTTCTTCAGCGGACGGTATGCCCATTCTCTCGTTACCCAGTAGAAAAGGCAACCTAGGACTTCCTCTTTTTTGATGCCTAGATTATCCCTCGCGGACACAAAAATCCTGAGAATCGGTGCTGAAAGCAAGATCGACTGCTTCTTCTTGAGACTCTTGTCAGGTTTTTTGAAAAGTAGCCTCGAGAATCAGCGCAACGGATGGACAGGAGTCCGGATACTAACTTTGATTAACTGACTGATGAAGACCTCTTCCGAAGGCAGAGCCCACGATCACTTATAATTATCTAAGCTGTTCATACGGGAGGTAGTGTGGACTACAAGAAACAATCCTGTATAAGTTTCACGTCAGAAAGTGGTAAGGTAGCGGTGTTAGAGCCCAAGGTTGTTCAAGCGATTCCATCAAGAAGTTAGTGGCTCCGCCCACGTTGATAGATGTCGTGTCTGCTGTCTTGCTTGTTTGCATGCTCTCTCGCTGCTTTCTCTGGCCTCTCGCCCGATATCCACATCGATTCTTTATCTATTAGGGCCCTATTTGGAGCGTTTTCGACGGATTTCTGTCCTTTTTTCCCACGGGCAAGTCAAGTAGCAAAGACCTTTCTGGTTCCTATCCCCGCTCCCTACTAATTGTTCGCTGGTTCATTGCGGAGTTTGCCTACAGGGAGGAATATCTAATCTGGATTTTCGTTCGAAAGTGTCGCAGGGATTCAGTTTAACCCAATGGAAGCGTCTTTCTCCAAGAGAGCGGTGATCCCTGCAGCAAAGGTCCGGAGAAGAGTTCTTAGGAATCAGGCTCTGCTCAAAAACACCTCACGCTAGTCGCTTCCCCGATCTTTATAGTGCGAAGTGGCAGTTGTATATACCGCTGTTATGAGTGCAGTATGTGCGATGCCGTTAGCACGTTTGTGTACATCCGCCACATTTTTATTGCTCATTACACAGGTTTATCAGAAAAACAAAGCTGCTAAATCACAGTTTAGTGCTTTTCGGTTCCTTTGAAATAATGGAAAGTAAGCCACGCGAACGACTCTAACGAGATCTTTCGTATTCAAAGCTGTCTAGACTCGTGCCTACATTTCAAAGGTACGATCCGCGTTGACCTGAGAAAATGTAAAAAATTGCGTGAGAAGGGCAGAGTGATCCGCTCTGAGCAACCCAGTACCACTTTTTGGAAGTTGTAAGGCGAAAAGTTCTAAGGCGCTAAGTTTTCTAGTGACGCCTCCCTTTCCCAGTGACTCCGCTTCCAGACCGCTTTCGAAGTCTGTGTTGTGGCGAAAGACGATGGAACTGAATTGGTATGAAACGAAAGGTTCACGTCTCTTGTGAGGTCGTAGGGCTTATTGTGAAGATTCAGATGGCTGGATTCGTTCCAAAGGCTTTTTTCGTCTTGTACCATCCAGTTGCTGGAGGGATCCTATCGGAGACGCTTCCGAAGTTGCTTTTTCAATTTCTCTGACACCACTCCAAACGCTCCCTATCGCGGAAGAAAAAAATATCGAACCGGGCCATCAACTCTTGTTTCATGGAATTTTCACAGCTTTCATCTGGGTGTCTCTGACTTCGCTCTCAGATCAGTGCAATCCCAAATCGGTTCAGACTGTCTTTTCTCGTTCTATGGCTATAATAAGCAATATGAATAGAGAGGAAAACTATCTTAGAGATTCACATTCCGATATGGCGGACATGAGATACTATTTGACTTACTAGAGTAGAAAGAGCGAACTCGAATTATCTAAGACGCCCTTAGTAAGGTCCCAGAAATGGATCAGCAGTTGAAGATGGAAAGCATAGCCTAGACGCAATGCAAATTGTATTTGTAGATATAGAGCCCCTTGCATCAGAGCACCTCCCTCCGCTGGAAAAAATTCTTGCAAAATAGCTCCTCTCCCAAATTCTCTCCAATGATACGACT